TGAATGAAAGCACCAATACATCATTGTTATGTTGTACATACTATAGTACTGATTAAACTGAACGAGTATTTGAGGCTAATTTCAGCCAGAAGTGCAACAAGAGCCTGATATTGTTATTAATCAACACTGAAAAGTATCAATTACATTAAGCATCGTAATATTCTCGCTCAGCTGAGCACTGGAGTACTGCAGTGGAATAGAGTGTTGTAGTTTCAGTTATTAAATTGCAATAAACGAATCCACTCCGAGGAATTATGCACAAAACGGCTGATCTAAAAAAAAGAAAGCAATGAAGTACGTATCGTTATAGCCAAATTGGCGATAAATTTGTGACTTTATCGTGGAATGTTTGAGTGTTCTTCGGATGGTAGTTTTTGAAAACGTTTCAGAGGATGCTTTTGTTCACCTTCTCTAACTGCTTCGATTAACAAATGAAATCACTGAATTCGTAATGATTTTGAATGAAAAAAATTGCCCGCACATAATATAACAAATTTGAAATTTAAAAAAAAAACGCTTTTTTTGAAGGAAATAAAATGATCAATGTGCACAATGAAAATTTTTGATTCGTTCTGCTCACTGAAGGAATCCTCTTCACATGCACAGCAGTCGCATATAACGGACTGCTCTGAGCGACACCCAAGATTTCAGAAAATAGTCAGAAAATATATTCATACTCAAAATGCCGTTTCTTCTTGCCATAAAAATCGCGCAAAATAAATGGAACTGGAATGAAATGATCGATGAAGCATGAATAACACGAGCGAGAGTTCGGTTAAAGAGCGGTCATCCCAAAAGTAGATTACGAACTTGATTCGTGCTCTTGAGTCCCACTTAAATTGCCATCCCTCACAGTAGCTTTTCGAATACGAAAACTTTAGCAGTACGTATCATCAAAAACCGTGAAAAAAAAGAGATATTAGTTCTTGAAAATAAACTTAATTGCATGGAATGTTGATAGAACTGAATTGCAGAGAAATTTGTGCCGTCACCGATGGAAGAGCACTTGTTACGAGCACCCGAGCCGCGTCGGGTGGAAAAACACTTCGAGAACGAGATATCGACAGCTTCACAGCCAGACACCATCAAGTCAACCACTCCCCAACCACAACGCGCTCAAATCGCATATTACAGGTCGCAAACCGATGAAGTGCCATCCTACAATAACCCCATCGATTAGTCCCGGCTATCTTCAACCAATTATTCAGCGCTTTTACGTCTATCCGGTGAACAGTGAAAGTCTTAATAAATTCATGTGTGCTTTCAGTAACTATCAGCTACTCTGCAGTAAGAACTAAGAATCACTTCTATGAGTTGTTCTCGTTGTTGTTGTTCAACGAAATCATGGAATCAAGTTGTTCAACGAAAATATATTTCCAGAAGCTAGGGCACTAGACTGAGATTTATTTGACCACTGATGATGAGATACCAGAAAATTTTAATTCTCATGTGAGTAAATTATCGATATTCGTTAAAGACTTGGATAAAAATTTACCATTCTCTTGCTCAAACCGCGTTGAAAATTGGTTGTTTATAGCTCGAGAAGGATGAGAAAAATTGTCGTATAAATGATATGATCTATTGCATGACTTCTAATTTTGCAGTGTACTATCTCCCATATAACCATCTTCTTCATGCAGTTCGTAGAATTTGACAATGAAAGTTGTAGCTTAAGCGCAACGTTGCTTCACTTATCGATCACGATCCCTCACCACGCTTCTCGTCCATGAATAGCACTCTGAATATCAGCGAGAAGACATATCACCGCTAGCAAAGCGCTACAAATCTAGAGAGTATGAGCGATTTCCAGAGAAAGCTTACCAATATGTATTATAACACGAGCATTTGATGTAACCTATTCCTTTTCAAAACAAATGCAATGCATTGTTTCATGCAATTCAGTAGGTACCTTCAGTTAGGAGACTTGTTGCCGTATTTTGAAATTGAAAACAGCATCACAGTTATCAAAAATGGTTCATGTCACCTCATTCAACGGTTCAGCTGTGATTACGAATATTCTTGACTTTATTTGCAATACGTGAATGATTATTATTGTTATAATTTGTTTCTGTTGTAGAACGCTGAGGTGCTTATTTCAGTACTACCTAATTATGACTGTGTATGGTGAATATATGGTAAATGGTTCGACTGACGAGTTCATTTCAAAACAGAATTCACTAACGCAAGAACAAACAAAGCTTCTGTTTGATTAAGTTTCCTCGAAGAGCGAATCTTTCTGCAACACGCAGCATCCTGTTGATTGAAACTATACGCGTTGATCGAATACGCCAAGCGCGTCAATAAGTCTCTCTTTGAAACTGAGAAGTCAGCTGTCATTATCAGCGAAGGTACTGTGAACATCTCTGATTGCACCAACACAAAAACGGCCAGTCAATGCATTCCGGTCATGATGCGACCGAAACAAGACATAATTCACGTCCGAAATGATGCATTCGCCTTTCATTTGGCAAGTTCTTGCTTCAGTTGAATTGGAAATATCACTTTGATAATGGATGGTATGAGCACAAGGAACTTCACTGCTCACTTAATTCAATGTTTAGTGGTTTTCTGATGGATATCGCGAGAATCCTGAATAAATTTATTCAACGGTTTTGTTAGTGAAACAATAAATCCAATAACTGCATCTCAAAGTGTTTAGAAGTAGATGTCATTTGATCACATCTTTAACGGTTCGATCAATAAATGATCATGCATAAAAACAGATCGCATTTGTTGATTCAAAGAGGCTTCCTTCCAGTTTTGCCGTCAACATTGAGTGAAATGTTTATGAACACGTATTGAATTGAGGAAAGGAGTCGATTCAGAAATCATACTTCTTATTGATTCACATTTCCTGGTTTAACAGTCATCGACTGTTTGACTGAAGCAATTGAGATCACAATGTTGACAAGCGTTAATGTCGTCTGCTTTGTCACAAAATGCCACAATACGAGGTCACATATGCGCCTTTCTCGGAGATCGTATTCCTCATCTTGACTCAGCTGGATTCTCAGAAAGTGAGATGATCCGCAGTAGGCTATTCAGTACTTAAAGTCGGTGTTAGGGATCTGAAACGCTCTGAGAATGATGCGACTTTTTAATGTCCTACTGGTCTCCGCAGGCGGTTAGGTTCAGCCCAGTTACATTCCAGGTGTAACCCAAAAACGAAGGCATATGAATAGCAGATACTTCGCAGAAAGTTTCTATCGATGAGTAATTTGTTTGCGATATGTGAATTGCTTGGTCACATTTGCAATCCGATCTCTTCACGAATGAACATACCCAGTGTGAAACTAATGCATGTCCTTCTTTTCATAGTTTTTCAGAGCAGCACCACAACACACCATCTAATAGGCAAAATTCTTTTCAAATATTTCCGCTGTACTCTCCTAGCCATCTCCTATATGATCTAACCCAATACAGTGCCTCTACGAAACATTCGCTTTCAGATTCTCTCATTTTTTTCTTCCGAATTTCCGAACTGTTGTCTCACCGCTGCATTTCTAAGAAAGGAATCGTCACTGATTTCAGGCCGTTCATTCCTGACCCAATGGACGAGACCATACTGCCGGAACCAGAACGAAAAACAGCTTCTTATCACGATATTTCCGAACTTTGTGGTCTGTCAAAGCAACCGTCAGTGAGCACATTGGAGCATCCAGAAGAAAAGAAAGCAGAACTGACGTATTGCAGGCCAGGATTCGATAACGTTCCTTCTTACTGAACAAACTGAAACAATGACGAACACTCACAGCGATGATGAAAAAATCTGAGAGCATTTTGTGTTTACCTGAAGAATATTCTTCGAAATGAAGAATCGCTTCAAAACAATGAAATAAATACCAAAACGACGGTTCATTTAAAAACAATCAAACACAGTCATTCCAGTTGAAATATAGAATCCCTGCAGCTGACTTACTAAAGAGATTCGATCATTTCAGGCCATTCATTCCCGATCCGATGGAAGAAACTCTCCTCCCTGCACCGGAACGACACAGAGCATCTTTTCATGACATCTCTGAGATTGGTGGCCTTTCGAAGCAACCATCAATGGGCACGCTTGTGCAACCAGAGGAGAAGAAGGCTGAATTCATCTACTATAGACCTGGATTTGACAATGTACCGTCATATTAAGAACTTTGCTCGAATATTCAGTAGTTATCGATCATATGGAATGTATATTGTTTGAGCGAAATTTTCTCACTTGACGCGAGTGCAAATTCGGGTGCGCTAAGGAATTGTTCATTTAGCAGATAGTATCAGAAAGTATTCGGATCACCGCCTTTACTTGCCACAATCAAATGCCAACTTGAGTGGCATTCAACAATCTTCCAATGAGGATTATCAAGCGTATCTCTCCAGGAATTCCATTTTGAATTCACGACATTAGTTTTCAAACACGATACTAAGCCAACCACACTGAGTACAAGCTGAAAAAGTAAAAAGAACAGGTGAACAGAACCCTATTGAACCCACAGCGTTTGATACGGTAGTGGGTCAGAAATGCTCAGGACAATATGGCCGATCAAGGAAGGAGGTTTTTTTGCGGACAAAGCAGACATTTGACGACACAAAAATATTTAGCCTGGTTGTGAACGTGATTGGTAGCTGTGTGTGCTTGATGAAATCAAACAGAACTAATGAATTTGAAGCGGAAAGCATGGGAATTTTTCGATCCAGTATCGCGTTTTTAGCGCATATATGGATATTTTTGAATAAAGTTACTAATTAGTTTCGACCTGTCAAGCAAAGATAATCCGGATGAACATGCATCACTGACTATGAAAGTTTTACATCAAATTATTCGCTCACATTTGTTCTCATGACGACTGCTTTGATCAATGCTCCTTGTCCAGGATTGCCGTATTACTCAAGATTATCTCATTTTCACTTATATTCCCTGAGGAGGTGTTTGGCCACAAAAAACTGAATATTCGTTCTTTTCCATACCTAATTATTTCCAATTTTCCTTGCGCTAACGACCTCATCGTTATCGAATCTATAAATACTCATAATATTTGATTTCACTGGTGATTTGATATAGATCGATTTTTTTCTCTTCGATAAATGCAACTATCTGATGGATTGTAGCAATAAAGAAAGATGCATTCCATTCCATTTCGATGAAGTTGTTCATACATTTCTTAAATTTTAATATTTCAGCCATCCATCAATCTTCATCAAAAATAATTGGATATCATTATTATTTTCTGTGCATTTCGCTAGTCGTAAAGCAGCAAAATAGGTTGATTATTCTATGAGCTCATCAGAATTCGCTGATGTTACAGTTCATAAAATGGTGTGATCAATCTTATTATTTTATTAACATTAATACCATTTGTTGACGTTACTAGAGCGGATTGAGTTGATAGAGACTCTTAGGTTGCAATGCACATCAACAGATGTTCGCAAGGTACTTCGTGTCAAAAGTGTAGTCGTTTATTAGCGCGCTGATGTTTCTCATTGAAACAACAGCTAATTTAGCAAATGAATTAACAACAAGTAATTAATCAATAATAAGAACCCAATGTTTCAACACGTAAAGTCTTCATCAGGAAATACATTTTGCTTAGTCATGTCGCCCTTGAAGATGTTTTCTCAAGTCTCAACATTGGGTTCTTAGAACTAATTATTTAACCGCTTACTCTCCATTCGTTCATCAATTGATTATACGACGGCGATATTCGTTAAAGTATCTGTTATCTTGCAAAGAGAGCACGAAGGTGCGACATTTTTGACTACTTATTTACACCATAAAATATTTCCGTCTGTCATACTACAAACACCAGTTGAGTTGGTTTTAGACAGCGAATTCACAAGGATACAACAACGCTCAAAAATTGTTCAAAGAAACTCGTTAAAGAGTTCCCCCGTCACATCCAAATTTTAATTTCAGTCGAACAGAGCACGTCTTAGTTACAGCAAGAATAGGTACCCGAAGTGTTGAAGTATCTCGATTCGCCCGACGAAATGGCGACATAAGATTATCGTATCGTTTATAGAGGAAGTGAGTTCGTTTAGGTGCAAGTGTTCCTGCAGAACAGACGAGAAAAATACGGAGTAGTGGTGAATAAGCGTAATTAATTTAATTGGAAGCGTTTGGTGTTCTTATCTTCGTAAACCCTCGCAAGATGCATTAATCTGACATACCGAGTGAAGTTTATCCTCGAATACATTTTGCTTAGTCATGTCGCCCGTGAAGATGTTTTCTCAAGTCTCAACATTGGGTTCTTAGAACTAATTATTTAATTGTTTACTCTCCATTCGTTCATCAATTGATTATACGGGGGCGATATTCGTTAAAGTATTCTTTCACGAAAGTTTATTTTCTCATTCACGAATCTTCTACTTTTCATTTCTTTCCACGTAACGCAATAATTAGTTGATTTGAGTGTTGCAAATGAGTAACGAACACTTGCAATCAATTTAATGTATGGCGTGTTGCCGTCAACTGAACGAATGAATCAAATCGGTCTTCTGCAGCCTTCTTAGCATGTTGCCCAGGTTTTAAGACTTAGAACTGGTTCACTTACAGCTTATTAACAGCTTTCTTCAACAATAAATCACTCGAATGGATAACCTGAACGGCCTTTCATGAAGAAATAATCTTCAGTCTTCAGTCACTTCAATATTGTCATCACAAGTTTTCATGCATCAAGTACTCTCATAAAGATTAGGCTAAGCAAAGCATTTGTATTAAATTCATTCAATTGACAACAACACGCGATAATCTCCCAAAACTCAGCACGGTTGACGGATGTCACTTTGTATGCCGTATATACTTTGCTTCATTTATTTTTCACTTGATTCTTCTACCTCTTGTACAACATCATTGCGTGGTGCTACTCCATTTGCAATTAATTCCCTGTTCATCAAGATGCTTATAACCAAAAATTTTTGAATTTAAAGCAATCCATCAGTCCCAAACAGTTTTTATCACCGAACAATATGTCTCCTCGTTGACAAACCTAGAACACATTTCTGAGAAGAAAGTTCTCGTACTTTTCAATTTCAGCCTTTTGAAATGTCCGTCATTGACGTCACTGACATATCCGTCAATGACATATCCGTCATTGACATACAAACTACTCGATGATCAACCAGTTCATGCAATAAGCAACACGAGGTTGTTGCCCCTCAAAGCGAGTCGCGTCCGCCATCAGCTGTCATTATGGATTTACAGA